ATGGCCGCGTTTTGTAATGGTTTGTACAGGAATAAATCTTGCTGCAGTCTGTTGCCTTGGGCCCTGGCTGCGGGCTGGGTTTTTGGGGCTGGGCAGCGTGTGCTGGGGGTGCCATCATGGGGGGGCGGGTTGTGGGACCCCCCTCCTGTGGCGTTGGTGGCTGTGGGCACGCAGGATGATGCGGGAAGGGGACCAGCGTGGCACCCGTGTTCATCCATAGGGTGACCCCAGCTGCGTGCCCCGGGAGCAGGTGGCAGCTGAGACCTCCCCGACTCGTGTCACCCCCAGCCAGGAGTCAGGGGGGTGTTGGGAGGAAAGGGGGGGTCTCTGCAGCCACGGAAGGGGGTGGAAAGGCAGGTGAGGCCACTGCACCCCCGGGGTTGGTGGGGTGGGGGTGCCAGGAGGGGTGCTGCAGTGGATGGGGGCACAGGGATGGGGGCATGGGGACGGGGATGAGGACACAGGGACATGGGGATGGGGACATGGGGACAGGGATGGGGACCCAGGGATGAGGATGGGGACACGGGGACGGAGGATGGGGATATGGGGACAGGGTTGGGGACATGAGGACAGGGATGGGGACTCGGGGATGGGGACTCGGACAAGGGGACACGGGGATGGAGGATGGGGACATGGGGACACGGGGACAGGGATGGGGACAGAGGATGGGGACACGGGGATGAGGACAGCGGTCACTTCCATGGGGTGGGGACAGGTGGCACGGGGCCCCCCGGGGATGTCTTAGGGGACCCCAAACCCAGCAGGACCAAGGCTCCCCCCTGCAGATGGGGGAAACTGAGGCACCGGGGGGGGGTGTGTCCTCACCCCTCGGCCGTGCGGTGACTACGGGCATCACAGCCCCTCGCCGTGCCGGTACCGGGAGGACCGATGCTCTGGGGGGCGGTGTTGTGTGCCCCCCCCGGTGCCCCCCCCGTCTCTGCCCGCTCCCGGCATGCAGCGCGGCGCCAGCGCTCTATATATAGCGGTAAAAATAGCCGGGCAGGAGCGCAGGCAGCGGCACAGCCTGCCCGGGCCCCCACCCAGAGGTCAGTGTCCCCCCACCTCAAACCCCGACGGGGGTCCCGGTGCCACCACTCGGCCTTTGGAGGGGGGGTTGGGGGTCACTGCGGCACCGGCCTCGGCGGGGGGTTATGGGGGATCCTGTGCCCGCCCGGTCCCCGCCCCCGGT